CTCTGCAGAAACTGGAAATGACTGAACCATGTTTGCCATGGGTGCCTGTGAGGCCCCCCTCTCACGTTTCCTGTCTGTATCAGGTTGCCTTGTCTGTGTCTTGTAGACCTGCATTCATTCGTCCAATGTCTGCCTTTTCCACATCTTCTACATAAACCTGAAGGCTGAGTCCTCCTATTTCTGTTATTTCTAGAATATGCATTATTATTATTATTATTATTTCTGAAAGATGCATCATTATTATTATTATTATTATTATTTCTGAAAATCCGTTTTCTACAATTCCTTTTCATATGACCCATTTTGCTACAATTAAAACATTTTGTATTCTGGTGTCTCCTTTTACCATTGGAAATTGCTTCTTCTACCCATGCTTCAGTGCCATAATCAAATGTATCAACATTGAGTGTATGCAAGACCCATTCTTCCAAGGGCGCTGATCTGAGCTTTAAAGGGCCCAAAATCCTTTTGCATTCCACATTTGCATTTTCGTAAGCCAAAGACTCAATCATTATATGTCTTGCTTCTGGGTCAGATATCCCTATTTGTACAGCCTTAGCTAATCTTTGTAAAAAGTCACTAAAGGGTTCTCTCTGACCCTGTTTAACTCTGACAAATGATTCCATTCTCTGTCCTGGGTCTTGTACCCTGTCCCAAGCCCTTAAGGCTGCTGTAGTACACATGGAGAGTGTGTTTTCATCCAAATTAGCTTGTTCCTGAGGGTCGGAAAAGAGCCCTTCACCTAGAATTTTATCTAGGGAAATGTCAATTCCCTTTGCTTTTTCCTGCTGTTCTAAGAGTCTAGCCTCTTGCCTGAATAAGCATTTCCATTTCAATTGCGGTCCACTCTCAAGTACCGTAGAGCTCAGCTGGAGCCAGTCCGAGGGGGTTGCTCTGATTGTCGTGGCCCAAGATCTTAGCATCTCTTTAACAAAAGAGGCTTGCATCCCAAAAGTCATGACAGCCTGTTTTATTTCCTTGAGATCATTCATACGGACAGGCTCCCATGTATCCTCCTTGATGACCCTAGGGTTTCTGGAACCAATCACCTTCTCTGTTGTTATTACTGTAAGGCAGGTAGTGCTGTAGGTAGAGTTTTGTGGAAATTGTCCCGGAGAGATTTACCCACAGATGTAGTTAAAATTTGCCTTTCTACCCTTTGCTCTTCTTCATCAGAATTGAGAAGTTCCTCAATCTTTTCAATTCTATTCACCATTGCCTTCTGCAATGTCTGAATCTCCTGTCCAGAATTATGTTCCAAAGCCTTCATTGAGGATTCTAAAGTATGAAGTTTGTCCGTTAGAGATAACATCTCATCTTTGGCCATAATTTTTGTGGCATAAACCGTGCCTTCTTGTATTGACAATCTTTCCGTCAATCTGTCATAAGCTTTAGACAAAATCCAATTGTCACATTCAGCAGTTTTGATTCTCTCAGTTAATGTTTCATTTCCTACAGAAAGGGACTGAAGCTTACGATCCAAATCAGCTGTTCCCTCTTCCATAGTAATGAATTTCTCCTTAATATCAGCCACTAATGTTTCAGTTCCTACAGAAAGGGACTGAAGCTTACGATCCAAATCAGCTGTTCCCTCTTCCATAGTAATGAATTTCTCCTTAATATCAGCCACTAATGTTTCAGTTCCTACAGAAAGGGACTGAAGCTTACGATCCAAATCAGCTGTTCCCTCTTCCATAGTAATGAATTTCTCCTTAATATCAGCCTGGAGAACTTCAAACTGATTCTTGAGAAGATTGTTGTCATTCTCAATTGTTTTTAAGTGTTCAATCTCTGCCTTAAGAATCCTGGATTCGTCTCGTAAGGACTTTATCATATTTCTATTATCAAACCATTTAGTGCCAATGAAAACTACGAATCCCAGAAGGATCCATAGATGTGGGGTGATAGACACCTCTTGTAAAATCTCCCACATGGTACAATTAAAAAAACTGTTAAATTCTTGAATAGTAACGTGTTCAGACATTTTATTTATAAAAGAAAATTTTTTTACCTGCAATGATCGGTTCCTGCCAGTGGCGGTCTCTGTGTTTTTGGAGCCTGTCCTAGAACTAGCTCTTGTAAACCAGGCTGGCCTGGAACTCACAGAGATCCGCCTGTCTCTGCCTCCCAAGTGCTGGTATCAAAGGCGTGCACCACCACCGCCCAGCCAAGTCACTTTGTATCAGACCAGATCTGCCGATGTGACGGTACTTGCGCTTCTGCTAATTCAGGCAGTGGGGTTCTGCTGCAAACTTAGCCAAGGCAGGCAGAATGGGCCTGTGTGGCCGAGTGTGTCTCGGACTTGGCACTGGGGCCTGAGTCACGAACTAAAAAACAGCACCCAGGAGGGTGCTGTGTTAGCTAGCGGGCTGCCCACTTGAGTTGGGGGCAAAATAGCCCGACGTTGGACACCAAAATGTAACGGCGTAAACGAATGTAGACAGATTGTAAAAGTATATATACAGCTTTAATGGCGAAATAGACTTACAGAACCACTGTTCCGGCGGAGACCAGGAAAGCAGAAGAAGCGGCTGGGAGCACGCTCGCCTCTGAATGCCTGGGTGGGCAGCCTCTGTAAGAAGGGCACCCTGGGGTACTTTGTCTCAAGGGAAAGTCTTTCAGTGGCTTGGTCTTTCATCCCTGTGGACTGGTGGGATCTGGCCAGTTCCTGAGATGCCCTCAAGGTGACTTCTTTTGTCCCATTGAAAAGCAAGGCTTTTCGAGTAGTGTTGGTGGCTGTGTCAGCCTGTCCAGTTTCTAGTATGCTTGTTTTCTAGCCAAAGTACATGTTTTTCAGGCCTTTTCTGCTGTGTTTCAGCTTCTGATTCTCACTGTAAACCTGGTTACAAGTAGCAAGCAGTGGCCATACACAACCTCGAGAGTTCCCCTACAGATTAGTCTGCTCTCTTTTATGCCCAGGCTCCTGCATGAATTCCATTGCTCATGCCTCCATTGCCTTTGTTCTGACCTCATCCCCAGGGCCGTGCTGAGCTCTTGAAATGATCCATGTATTGTGTATGGAGTCATGACAAAATTCAAGAAAATTCAGATGGCGTTGCAAGATGGCAGGCTACTTTCACTGCAAGTACAAGATGTGGCTTGAGAGAAAAAGGAGTTAGACAGTCTGATGCAAGGGTAAAGAAGATGGAGCAGTTTTCCAGCAGCATGGAGGTCCTCTGTTCCATGGCCATCTGCTCTGCTGTGTCTACGTATTACGTATTTGTCATGATGCTGGCAAGGCAGCTGCAGCAGTTCCAGCCATCACATCCAGATTCCTATAATACCGACGCAGAGAAAGCCGATTTTTCTGTCCAGGTGTCAGACACAATCCTGTCTTAAACCTAGTCACTGACTTGAAGCTGTCTCCAGCCCAAGGCTGGGAAGGGGCTTAGAGTAGGGTGGCCAGAGCTGTCACATAAGCTGCTCCTCTTGGCATGGGTCACTTTGTGCCACCTAACAGTGTAAGTACCACAGCCTCCTCCTCTTCCTCTTCCTTCCTCTTCCTCTTCCTCTTCCTTCCTCCTCCTCCTCCTCCTCCTCCTCCTTTCTCCTCCTTCCTCCTCCTTCTTCTTCTTCTCCTCCTGCGTCTCCTCCTCCTAGATGGGGTAGGGGTGCTAGGTTCTTTCTGCAGGGCTGCTTGCTCCTGGTTTTCTTCTGGCTCAGTGGCCATGTTGATAGAAGTGTAGCTCTTTGTCTTTGCAACTCTGTCACCAAGGCTTTTCTGAAATGTTTCCATGTGAGGCTTGAGGAGGACACAGGTCACCACACTGTGTTCACTGAGCATGTTTCCTTTTGTTTGCGTCAGTGACATTTCACCTGAAAACATTTGTTAGATGCCTTTAATCATCTTTTTCAAACCAGTAAACCCTGAGTATTTCTCTTCAACGCTGAAAACCATGACTGTGCTTGTCATACCCTATGGAGTTCTTGCTGAGCTGTCTCCATGTCTCAGGAAAACAAGTGTGGTGGCTGTCCTTGCAGCATATCCACGCTGTTGGCCTGAGTGGGTCATTCCTAAGGTTTATCTTCTCAACTCCTTGCCTCTACTCTGATGGCCTCTACTGGTGAGAGGAAGGCCTGAGTCTCGGGTAAGGGTGACTTCTCAGTCCCTTCCAGAAGCCCTGATGACACTTCCATCCCATGTCCTTGTGACTTTGCTTCCTAGTGCTGTGGTTCAGACCCATAGTCAGACCCATGTTCCTCTCTTGGTTGGAAGGCACATTAAGGCCAGGTCCTGTCACAGGACACTGCGCCTCATTAGCAACTCCAGAAGTCCTTCTCTCCTGACTGTTCCCAGCTCCCTGGGTGACTGGCCACATAGCTTCTCAGGGGACGCTGAGAGCACAATTTGAAGGTTTAAATGAATTTATCACAGTGGGCTTGAGCATGTTGGAGAAGTATGAGAGATGGTACCCAAGTCAACCAGATGAATAGAGCTCCAACGGAAAATGGAAAGAGTTGTGGGCCTTTGCCAGAAGATCCCAGACAGGGGGAACATGCAGTGGGCTTATCTCCCAGGCTTGGAGCCAAGGCCTGCTGTCTCTCAGCACCCCAAGAGGCAGCTTTGTGGGCCTCACCAGCCTGTGGAGATTGAGTGCACCCTATGAGGATCCTGTGATCCTCATGATAAAGGGGAAAGAGGCTGTGTATTGGGAATAGCATTTGATTAAAGAACATGTCATTGTGGAGCTTCGTTTTTCTCTCTCTGGAAAAGCCAGCTGTTTGAGTTATTCCATATTGTTCTCTTCAAGTTTGAGCTGATTGTCTCTAATCACACTTGAAGCGAGCCTTCCATAATAGGGCTATTAATGTGCCTTCTATTTTTTGCTGTGCTGTTTTATTTTATTTTTCCAATAAGGTTCAAATGGTCTTGTCTTTTAAGGGGAGGAAAACAAAGACTAAACCTCCTAATTGTTCTAATTATTTCCATAAAATCCTGAGAATCTTATGAACAGTTTAAATTTTTCTCTTCTCCTTTGAACAATATCCATCATGCCCAGCTGGCCAGCTCAGCAGCTCTGGAAGGAAGGGGACAGCTAAGGTTCACTGCAGGGCGGTGGAGCCCACACCACAACTGTACCCAGGTGGCTACAGCAAGTGACACCACCCTGCGAGGATGGGACACACGGAGCATGAGGTCAGTGACATGCCCACACTTTGGATCCCTGCTTCCTTCTCACTTCCCTTCCTCCTCTGAAGGAGTTGATTGAAAGCCAGAGGTGCTAGGGACACGTGACTTGTTGTCTCCATCTTATTTCTGTGGGAATTATCTTCACCCCAAATTAAACTGGCAGATCCATTTCAGGGAGCTGGCTCTGTGATGTCCCTTAGTGTTTCCTATGTCAGAGGCAGCACAGAAGGAATCCAAGGCCAGGGCTTTGTGGTGCCTCACAAGCCCCATGGCGACACAGATGCTCCAGCTCTGTGATCAGCGCTGCAGGCTGGCACTTTCAGTCCCCAGCCTAAGCCTCCCTTGTGGAGCTGTCTGGCCATTTCTGTGCTTTCAAGAGCCATACCTATTGGGCAATCATATTTTGTCATTTAAGTAATTATACGCAGCAACCAGCAGTTCTAATGGAACAAACAAGAGCGATTTTTCTGTTCCAGTTGTGATTTTGATAGGCAGAGGAGTGATGGTGGGATGTCTGTTGCCATGGCAACAGGAGCCTGCACAGGCTTCTTTAAGATGCAGTTTATCCCCTTAGCACACCATCATTTATCACTGAGCTGAAGAGACGGATGTCATGTAATAACGTGGGCTTCTTCCATGGTGGGGGAACACCTTTAATTTTAGTTCCGAGGCCCCTGTGAAAATCCAGGGCTGATAAATAACCGGTAGGCACTCCTCCCCTGTGCATATCTGCACAAAGGAGTGATTTGGCTTTCTGATCAAGCTGGAGGCCGCAGACTCAAACTGTGATGGATATCCCATGCAGGCCCCTTCTCTTTGTCCTCTGGGCTTCTTTCCTTGCTGCTCTTTGAAGGATGTGAAGGCAGGAAGCTCAAAGAATGGCTCACACACCAAAATATAAGATGTATAATACGACACTGGCTGGCAGCTCCCCACAGTGACCTTGTTGTGCCCAGGTTGTCTCTGTGACAAGGCACTGGCTTCCAAAGGAAGTGTCCCCATAACAGCAAGCCTTTCTCCTCTTCATTGACTGGTGACTCCTTTGGCAACAGCCTTACTTTTGTCTAGCCATGCTGCCTGGACTGTTTCTTTTGGCGCGTGTTAAAGTTGTGCTGCCAGAAACTGAAGTGAGCCTCAGTCAGGCACAGCGCACCTGTGACTGCCTGTGACCTTCAGAAGTTTTGATTTTACAGCTCGTTTCATCAGAGTTCTTATGGTTTGGGGCATCTGATTTTCAGGGGTAGGTATGCCAGGCTATTGAAAACATGTAGTATATACGAGCCAGCTAAAGATATAAAATGCCAGGTTGGGGAGACACTTCCATGGGTAAAAGCACTTTTCCTGTGAGCCTGAAAATCTAAGTTCATATGCCCAGGACCCACATAGAAACCAGATGTAGCAAACACAAGCGTCTGTAATCCCAGCACATCCTGCTGACTGGGAGTGTCAGGAACCAGAGGCTAGGGAGCTTCCAGAAACCCAAAGGCAGACGCCTGTTTACACAACAGCAAAAGGGCTTTGTTTCCGTGGAAAGACAGGACAGACACCTGAAGTTTGTCCTGACCTCTACACATGTGTACACATCTCACACATGCATAAGTTAATCAGTTAAAATGCCATCAAACTGGGGAATCCAGCCTGAGGGAAGAGAAGGAGCTGAGCTGATAATTGTTGCAGGGCAGAAGACTATGATAGGGTTCTGCTATGTGAAAGGTTATTATCTCTTCCAGGTTTTTCCCCAATCCCCACTGAAGCCATAGCAAATAAGGAAGCCAGTGATAGCACTGGAGGCTTGAGCTCCCCCTGAGGAAGAAGGGTCAGTAAAGTATGGATAGGAAGGACACCGCAGGGTTGTACTATGTTCAGCACTAACTGGTACCACTATCTACCTTCACTGGGAACCTGACCTTGTTTTGGGTACATGGCATCAGATGACTAGAATATTTATATTTCTGACCCTGTGAGGGGCAGCCAGGGAAACAGGGGTCAGGGGATGGGGAAAGGAAAAAAGGGAGAAGAGAGAGAGAATGAATATGAGTATATGCAAGTGTACATACATGCATGTGCTTGAAGAGTGCATATGTGTGTGAACAGTGCACATGTGTTCAGGTGTGTGTGCATTGAGCATGTGCACTCTAAACCACCATATGGATGATTTCAAACACCCCTTCCACATCTCCTTCCTTGAGAGTGAGTGGGGGTGCAGACAGACACAGAGTAAGCCCAGCATAGCAAACCCCGTCTACATTTTTCTTGGAGGTTTTTTTAACTTTCTCTGTTTTTCTTTCTTATTCTCTATATAGCTCAAACAGTAGCCATACACCATTCACTACTGTCCAGTCTTCACTTTCTCATTTTGTGCTTCGAAGATGTCAGGGCCCTCACCTGTCTGGTCCCACTTCTTCATGGCTGTCATTGTCCCTCTGGCCACTCCCACTCCCAAGATTCCAAGTACATTTAAACATTTTTAAAGAAAAGATTGCATTCATTTGTTTAGAGTTTGCAAGGGGGTAGGTGGGGGTGGCTTTGTCCTGGTACACACATGGAAATCAGAGGACAACTTGAAGGAATTGGATCCCTGGGAGCAAACTCGGGTGACCAAGCTTGGTGGCAGGCACCTTTACCCACTGTGCCATCTTACTGGCCCATCAAGTCACACTTTTGTTTCACTTGTCCATTTGGTTCAGGGAACTACACATACACTCCTGGGATGGCAGCGCTGTCTCTGCTGTGAATCATTTCTGCAGGGGGAGGAAGTGGCCGAGCCTAGGCACTTAGGCTGGGTTACCCTCTGCTTGGCTACCAGCAGGAGCGTGAACCAGCTCTTCCTTCAGCTGGGGCTCAGTTGGAGTCCTGGAGAAGTGAAGTGGTTCCACAGCCCACTCCCTCTTTCTGTGTGCCGTTCTCCCTCCAGCCAGATATACTGCATAGAGAACGCTCACGGGCAGCTGGTGCGTGACCTCGACTTCAACCCCAACAAGCAGTATTACCTCGCCAGCTGCGGAGATGACTGCAAGGTGAAGTTCTGGGACACACGGAATGTCACCGAGCCTGTGAAGACCCTGGAGGAGCACTCCCACTGGTACAGAAACTCATTTGCATGCTGCTTTAGGGAAGAGGGGATTATGTAATTTATTTTGCTAATTACTTTACCATTTGGAAAAGCACAAACCAGCTTAGTTTGTGCTACTGTGAATCATTCAATCAGCCCAGCTTTATTCTTCCTAAAGAAACCCTAATTCCAAATGTGAATGTTTGTGATTTGTAAGTGTAGGAAGGGAAGAAAAACACCAGATTCGGTTCCCCTTTACACCACGCCGGCTCAAGTGTGGAAAAGTAAATGTGCACAGATGTTCACACAGCATTGTTTGCCATGCACAGAACCTGGAAGCCACCCAAATGTCCATCAGTAGGGGATTGGTTAGGTAAATTTGGTGACATCCGTGCAGAGGAGATTATGCAGCTGCCAGAAGGAATGAGGCATATCTGTATGTGTGGATATGGAAGGGCACCCAAGACCATTCACCCTCTCCAAATATTGTCTGGATGTGTACCATATGCTGGGAGAAAAAAAGAATGAAGTGCAGACTGGTATATATGCCATGAAATCATGATTTACTCCAAGAAAGCCTATATGTGCTGCACACACGTGTTTGTGTATGTGTATAGGAAATGTGTGAGTGTGTGTGTAATATGTGTGTGAACATGTGTATGTGAGTGTGTTTATGTGAGTGCGTAGGAAGTGTGGGAATGTGTATGTATATGTAATATGTGTTTGTGAGTGTGAAATAGTATGCGTGTATAATGTGTGTCTGTGTGTGCATGTGTAGGAAATATGTAAGTATGTGAGTGCTTGCTTATACATGTGTAACATGTATGTGTATAGGAGATATGTGAGTGTGTGCAGGTATGTACAGGAAATGTGTATGTATGTGTGTATATGAAAGTCTGGCTGAGAGAGAGAGAGCTACTTTCCTGAGGACTCCTCCGTGGGTAAGGAGTTCCCTCCAGGGCTTTTCCTTCCTAGGCTTATGTCTCTAGATCTGTGAATTCCTTACCAGAAGTAGTACTGAGTCTGTGAGGCCCCAGGGTCCTCCTGTGCAGTTCTGATGAACTGGATGAATGGCTGTAATTTGCTGCAGCCTGAACAGAAAGCTTCGCTGTACCCACTGTGCTGAGCGCAGCTCCCTGTGTCAGGCCTGCTGCACTCTCCAAATGGGAGCACTAGCATTGTCTGTGGCCTTAGCAGGATCAGGGGGCCAAACTCAGCAGGGACCCTGGCCACTTCGAGGAGGAAGTGGCCCAGTATCAGACCTGACACAGGCCTTTGTCTTGGGTCCTATGGCAACACACAGCTGCAGAGACATGCAGGACTTGGTTAGATGTTCCGTGGCATCAAGGGAGACAGAATGCTGAGTGGCAAGCCTTTTCCCTCCACAGATGACTTTTAGTCTTCTGGTCTTGTGTGCTGGGTCCTAAAAGAATATTCCGGAGCAGCACATGGTAGGCTTTAGCTCCTTCCCCAATGTCCATGGCAACAGCATATGTGGTGTTGATCGCATTGCCACACTAGTGCCCTGCTGTGCAGTAAGGTCAGGGACACTCATGTGTGTTCACTCACAATCGTTCATCTGCCCGTGACTGTTACAGGGTGTGGAGTGTCCGCTACAACCACTCTCACGACCAACTGGTCCTCACTGGCAGCAGCGATAGCAGAGTCATCCTGTCCAATATGGTGTCTATCTCCTCAGAGCCCTTCGGCCACCTGGTGGACGATGATGACGTCAGTGACCCGGAGGAGCACCATGCTGAGAAGTAAGGGACACAGCTGCAGGTGACTCTGGGCAGGAGTGCTCGTGGTCACCGATGACATCTGGGGCCAGGCGAGTTCTGTGTGTGAGAAGGATGCTGTCCCTTCCTTTCTGCAGTCACAGACCACAGATCTGCAGGCCATTAGCTGTGGGATAAGGAGAGTTATAAGAGGTCCTCTTGCATGGTTGGAGTGCCTGGATCTCTGTCTTCTCCACAGTCTTTGTGAATGCCACTTGTCACATCTAAAAGATTGCTGCTGTCCAGATTTGAACTCTGGTAACAGTGTGGCTGATACTCCCTGGTCTTGTCACTCCCTGCATCACTAACTACACAGTGTCCTTGGGGTGCTCAGTGGATAGTTCATAGTGCTGACTATTTCCTTGTAGCCCTTAGCCGAGTAATGTGGGTCTCAATCCAGGTCAGTAAGTTGGTCAGTCCTCCTCGGCCCTGAGCACTGCACAGAGTGTTCTGGTATGCACTTCCCAGCCACACCATTGCAGTTCAGTGTTTTTCGAAAAGCAACATCATGTACCTGTTTCCCGTGCTAAGTGCATCTTTGACTGGGAGATGGCTGTGGTTGCACCCTCTTCTTATCAGGGCTCCTGTCTCTTACACACAAAGGGGTCTGAGGTTGCAGAGTTTGTGCCTGGCTGGACTCCCAGTGTGAGTCAGCATGGGTGCTCTCATTATGTTGTGAGAGAAGACAGCAGGGCCTGTAGCTCACTTTGTGGAGCCCACACCGATGGGAGACCCTCTTGTTCCCTAAGTGGTTTTTACCATGCTCCTGTATGTTAGTGGCTTCCCCTAAGGTATGCCCCAGAAATTTGTGCCCAGATTGCAGAGGAAAGAAGGTTCTGGAGTGAGGCCCAACAATTTGGACTGCTAGAGAGTCCAGAGCACACGGCAGGCCCTGGCACTGGTCTGTGTCCACACACACTCCTTTGTTCACTTGTGTCTGGCTAGTCACATCCCCGAGTGGCTCATCCGCAGGGTTTGTCCCTCCACTGTCACTTTCCTGTGGGTGCACTGCTGAGCACAGGTGCACAGCCTCCAGCTGTTCTTCCCGAGTGCCATGTAGATTTGGCTTCTGCCAAGGAGGCTGTCTTTCAACCCCTCCGTGCCAGGCAAAAAACTGACTTGTTCCCTTAGTCTGCTGAGTGATTAATGTGTGTGCTGCCCCCTGTGTGGGAAGCATTAAGGAAGCAGGGGAGGGATTGTGGCTGGCAGACTGTCCTGATGACTTCCTGCCATGTTGATGCCACTGAATTCAGGAAGATCAGCTTCCCTGTGGAGACTCTGCCTGTTGTTTGTCACAAAGTAGTCTTCGACCACTGGCAAGTTCATTTGCTGGGAAGTGGGGGCCTCGCAATGTCATAGACTCCAGGTGAAATTTAAGAAGGACTTTAAGAGCTCCGTCTATCTCCTGGGGAAAGGAAGCATTTTTTTGCAGGCACTCAAGACCCCCAGACTGCATTCAATGCCTGGAAGTCATTCTGTGAGATGGGGAGAAAGTGCTAGGGCAGCTGTGCCTTCTGAGAAGTGGCCTGTGCACATGGGGTTCCAGGCCTGAGGCAGGCCAGGAAGCCCACTCCTTGGGAATGTGTGCCACATGCTCACAGCCCTGAGCTTCTTTGACAGGACCACTTGGGCTCATGTCTAAGGACATGGGGAGAGGGTGTTGCCTCACCCAATACCAGAGCCAGGAAGGCTACACACTTGAGCAGAGATCCTGAACAGAGAGAGAGAGCCTTTTGTAGCCAGACTCTGGCTACTCTGTACAACAGAGAGCTAGCCTGGGTGCTTCCGGTGTCCTTTTGGCACACACACTAGCAGCTTTGCTGTTATACTCTATTAGGCATAGTATTCTTGTCTCTAGACAGGGCCCTCGTAATACACCAGATAGGTGATCACCCCAGGAACTCATGGTGCCAAGGGTTGGGGATAAGGCATTGCTAGACACTCGGGATGTCTATAATCCACAGGCTGTGTCTTATCCCCATAGCTGTGATGCCGTCTCCTAGGCTTCAGCTGCATGTTGTTCCTGCCTCGTTTTCCTCCGTAAACTCTAACATCCTCTGTGCCTCACGTGGTTTTCTGTCTCTTGGGCTGTAGGAGTAAGGAACCCCTGCAGGACAATGTCATCGCCACCTATGAGGAGCACGAGGACAGTGTGTATGCTGTGGATTGGGCCTCGGCTGACCCATGGCTGTTTGCTTCCCTGAGTTACGACGGGAGGCTAGTTATCAACAGAGTCCCCAGGGCGCTGAAGTACCACATCCTGCTCTAGTCCCAGCACTGCTTGTTGGCACTTGGCAGGCTCTCAGGTTCTGCAGCCATGAGGCAGTTTCCTTTGCGGACTGCTGCCTCCTGGGTAAGCAACATTGCTTCTGTAGGAGCTCTGAGGGACATGGGAGCTTCTGCCAGAAGCTCGTCTGAAGCTGTTAGCACAGTGCCCAGCACGGAAGGGAGCCATGCTGGACGTTCCTATGTTGCTGTGTGAATTGATGATAGCCCAAACTCGGCTCAGTTCCTGTTTTCTGTTCTAAGGGTGTTGGGAGTTTAACTCTTCATGAGTATGTTTTCATCTTGCTATTCTCACTGAAATAAAGTGCATAGCGATGCATATAGCCTTTTCAGGCTCTGCCTCACTGAGGATATCACATGGCTCTTTGTTTTCTCTAAAACAACTTGGAAAGGATGAGTACAGTAGACAGGTGTGTCCTCCCTACAGCGCCATCCCTCACCTGTGGACAGGAGTGTCCTCCCCACACTGCCATCCCTCACCTGTGGACAGGTGTGTCCTCCCTACAGCGTCATCCCTCACCTGTGGACAGGAGTGTCCTCCCCACACTGCCATCCCTCACCTGTGGACAGGAGTGTCCTCCCTACAGCGTCGTCCCTCACCTGTGGACAGGAGTGTCCTCCCCACACTGCCATCCCTCACCTGTGGACAGGAGTGTCCTCCCTACAGCGTCATCCCTCACCCGTGGACAGGTGTGTCCTCCCTACAGCGCCATCCCTCATCTGTGGACAGGTGTGTCCTCCCCACAGCGCTGTTTCTCACCTGTGGACAGGTGTGCCATCCCTCACCTGTGGACAGGTATGTCCTCCCCACACTGCCATCCTTTAGGCAGAGCTCTTGTGGACTGTTGACTACAGGTGTAAAGGATGAGTGCCCAGCCTTGATATAGTATCTTAGTTAGAATCACCATTGCCACGATTAAACACCATGACCAAAAAGCAAGTTGGGGAGGAAAAGGTTTATTTGACTTATACTTCCTTCATCATTAAAGGAAATCAGAACCTGGAGGCAGGAGCTGAAGCAGAGGCCATGGAGGGGTGCTGCTTACTGGCTCGCTGCTCATGGCTTGCTCAGCCTTCTTTCTTATAGAGCCCAGGACCACCAGTCCAGAGATGGCACCACCCCCAGTGGGCTGGGCTCCTCTCCATTGATCACTAATTGAGAAAATGCCATACAGCTGGATCTTATGGAGGCCTTTTCTTAAGTGAGGCTCCCTCCTCTCGGATGACTTTGAAGTTGACAAGTTGACATAGAACAGTCCAACACATACAGTGAAGTTGTCACTCACCCTATAGAACATCCTTACTTCTGCTTGTAGAATGAAACAGGCCAGCTAGCTCTTTGCTGGTCTCTGTCATGTCAGAAGTTAGGAATGGGTAGAGTCGCCATGGTTGAGCAGCAGAACATTCCACCTTCAGTTTCACAGAGAGCCCTGGGCACTGCCAACCCACCCTCTTGTCTGTAGCTCTGTCTGTAGGTCCTGGGGCCTTGTCTTGTAGGTCTGACACACGATCACATCTGAGAAGCCACCTCAGCAGTAGACAGGGTTGTTCCTGTAGAAATTGCTTCCCTACCCTGATGCCCTACTCTTCCTACCTGTCAGGAGAGGGGATGAAGGAGGGGGATGGCCCATTCAGTTCCAAGGTCTGTCCATCAGACCACAGCATCACTTTGAACCCCTGACCTGGCCTCTGTGTTCACCTGGAAAGTTTGAGTACTTGCTTTTCTCTGGAGGGCCCAAATTGCAAGCTTAAGGGGTCACATCCTGGACCTGGCTCTGCATGCCTGGGCATAGGGAGGGCCAGAAGGTGTGTGTGGGCATACTCACTGCCCTGCTGGGTGATGTCACTTTCACTGCACAGTCTATGAATCTTTACAATGCAGAACAATTTGTTAAACCAGACGCTTCCCTTCTGTGTCTTGGGCTCCCAGGTCTTGGCCTGACTATCTGGATCCTCTTGCCTGTGTGAATTTTGTCTTTGGAGACAGTCACAGAGCATCGTGCCTGGGTGACTGAGCCCAGATATCTTGTTTGTTCCTATAGGCTACCCTCTGTTCTGGGGACCCGTAACAACTGCAAGTTCCCCACAGAGGGTGTCTGTGGCTTGTGATCGGTAATCAACAGTAGAGCTGTCTTAAATGCGTACACAAGTCCCTGGAAACAGACACTTATTTCTGGGCAGGGACTGGTCAGCTGAGGATCTATGGCCAAATCCATGCCATGTTTGGTAGCACACAACGTTCGGCCCCTGAAGTGGGGGGCTACCTGGTGACCCTGTGGCCCTGGGTCTGGTTGTCTTCTGACATTTCCAGGTTCACTGGTATTGCTCCAAGTAGACGCTTAGAAGTAGATTTCGGGTACCCATGTGATATACATACCTGTAGCCCCAGCACTTAGCTGGAAGCAAGAGAGTTGCTGTGAGTTCAAGGCCAGCCCGGCATACATGGTGAGACCCTGTCTCAAAGAGACAAACAAAAAGTGGCTCTCTGGGTCCCTGGTAGATGTGCGTGCAACTTTGTACACTGCCTAGTGCTTTCCAGGCTGCGTGGGTTCCCCTCCACAGAGAGAGAGCCTGTCCCTTGCTCTCAGACCACACTTCAATCTTGTACACTGCAAACCTTGCCCCTGCTACACAGCTCATTCACTCCTTAACCATCTGATGCCCTCCTTACCAAAGCCTGTAAGTTCAGCTGGTTGTTAATTAATTGTGTGTTTAATTACTATTGATTTTGACAGTTCTTTATTTTGGGTGTAAGTCCCTTATCAACTATGTAATTTCACATAACCTGTTTTCCTCACCTTGTTGCTTGCTGAGCAGTATCACTTACAGAAAAAATAAATAAATAAAACCCAGCTTGCTTAGCCCTTCCCTTTATGGTTTAAACCTGCCTGACCAACTGTGTTTTCTTCTGAACATCTCGCCGTTCTACATTTAGGTCCTGGGTCCATCTGGAATAGTTCTGCTTCTTTCATATGGATACCAGGTGCCCAGCATCCCTCACTGCTGACCTTCCCTCGCTATGGCTCCTTTATCCCCCATCAGGTCCTGCTCATTGGTTGCCTCTTCACATTCCCTTCCATGGCTCTCTGCCCCATTAGGAATTCCTTAGGACCTTTATGGGATATTTTCCAGAACTTTCCCTGGAGCTTCCCTCTGGATCCCATGCCCATTTCCCTGAGGACTAAGTCCTCCAGTTACTACCCATCTCACAGCAATGCCTGTGTCTGGGGCCAGTGGCAGATGAACAGGAAAGACTCCATGTCTTCGGAATGACCAGAGAAGAAGTGTGTATGTCCGTAGTCGAGGCTTCCATGACCCCTGTGGCCTCTGCACACAGCTGTATGGAGATGTTGAGAACCCTTCTCTCTACCTGCCACAGGAGAGTCCTGACTTCTGTGAATGCTTCAGAACCTTCTCATTGCACCAGGTCCTGCCGTGATGTATGCTGTGAATATGTTTTATTACCATTGGTTAATAAAGAAGCTGCTTTCAGCCAATGGCTTAACAGAGTAAACCCAGGCTGAAAGAGATATAGAGAGAGTAGGCTGAGTCAGGGAGAAGCCATGTAGCCACTCACAGGAGACATATGCACTGGAACCTTGCTGGTAAGCCATAACACACAGATTAATAGAAAATGGGTTAATTTAAGATACAAGAGTTAGCCAGAAATATGCTTAAGCTATTGGACAAACAATATTGTAATTAACACAGATTTCTGTGTGATTATTTCGAGTCAGGGCTGTTGGGAAATGAACCAGTGGCCTCTGCCAATACCGCCCATACCCTCTGTGTATAGAAAGCAGCTGAATGAGCAAACTGCTTCATACTCTGAGTGCTAGAAGAAGGGGCGAGGAGGGCTAGGGCAAGGGTGACCTGTGACATCTGGGGATCCATTCGGTCAGTTGCTAGGTCTAAGCAGGCCTGACATAGGCCAACTTTTTTCATCTAGTTTCATAAAGTCTAAATTGCTTTCCTCAATGATTGACATTTTCAAGGCCACTTCACTCTGTGGTCCCCATTGCAGATGAAAGCATGAAGGTACTAAGGGCCCCCAAAGGTCTCCTCGAGGCACACTGGCTCCCTTCGTCTACATCTGGGCTCCCCCACTGCACTGACATTCCTAGAGTGACCAGGGTAGCCACACCTGCCCAGGGACCCTAAGGCATCTTGATTTCCCTGTCTCCTCCCCGTCGTAGACATCTCTACAGGAGAACCTCTGCATTCTGTCCTCCACCCACCTTCCCCAAAGCTGGTGTCTCCATGCAGTAGGTCCAGCAGTCTGGACAGCCCTCCTCAGACACTCAGAGTGTTGGATGTCCCATGCTAAGAAAGAGAGCAAGACAAGGCGTGTGACATTCCTGTCATCTCTGGGGCTGGAGCTTATGCAGGTCAGGGCAGCAGCCTTCACAAAAGAGTGGTCAGAAGTACCTACAAGAACCAGCTCCGAGTCCCCTAGGCAAAGGTGCAAGAGAGGAAAGTAGGGCCAGCATGCATGAAGGGTGAACAAGACCAGGTGTGTAGGGATTTTAGGCTGGCTGGTCAGGTCTCTGCTGGGAAAGGGGAGGGCAGCTCCCTTTTCAGGGCAGCAATATGGGGTCCCATGACCCTTAATGGGGTTTGCATTTCTTTCTCCACATTAGGACTGCGCTTATCAGGGTTTCAAATGGAAACCAGAACAAGGGGCTGTCCTGAGGCTCCTGTGCACACCTTCCTCACAGATGCCTGGGTGTGCACCTGCCAGGCTGAGGGACACTGGGGACAGCATAGGCCTCAGCAAGGCCTGATGGAATGCTGAGGCTGGGAGGCAAACAGCAGGTTTGTGGGGACAGAGCTCCCAGTCTTCCACACACGTGAGTCACCCTCAGAGTGGACTGACACTCTCCCTTCGTGCGTGAGGATACATGGAGTGCAAAGGCACATGGGCAGCTGTAGGCAGAGGTGGCCCAGGGTGACAGTGCTAACTCTCTGAGACTCACCATCCTGAGCTGTGCCAGTTGATAATGAGGCGGTCCCGTGGGGGTGGCAGGGATGCTTTGAGAGATCTCTATATCCTCTTAAGCCATCAGGGCTGAGGTGAGGAACAGAGTGGTTTGAACGGCCTGCCCCGTTCATCTGATCAGCGCTAGGTCATCATCCATGCACACAGGTGACGAGACAGCTGCCATACACAGACTTGCAAACCCGTGTTGGGCTACAGGAGCGACTGGGAAGCCTGGGTGTTCCGCTTTGGGTTGGGTGGATAAAAGCCACCTAAAGAGCATATCCATGTCTCAGTTGGCACCTGACCAACTGAGGGGTATTGCCAGTGCAGCATCTGGCTCCTCGAGCAAGCAAGGATAGATAGG